CTATATAAAACGTTTAATATAAAAATTCTACTACAGATTGTTATACTCAAGTATAAATCTATACTTATATAGAGTATGACAACGATATCTTTTTTTTCTACTTATAGATTTTTGATATCATGAAAAAGACACCTACGCAGCTTATTCATTATTTAGTTTGTCTGCAATATTTATTAAGAATATCAAGAAAAATGATAAGAATTAAATGAGTCAACAAAGGATATAAGATTTTTCAAGATAAAAATAATATTTAAATCAGAGAAACGTCTGAAGAACTTGAAATATTGACTCTAGTAACTCCATTTGTTTCTAAACAAATGTTTTACAGCTAAATTTATCAAATGTATCTAAGAATATTGTTTCACTATTACATATCGAATGAAACTAATTTGTTTTTTAATAAAATATTGAGTCTCATAAAGTTATCAGAATGCATCTACAATAATGTTTAAAACATTTTCTTTGAATATATTTTTTTCTCCATTATAGTTCAAATTTTTCTTCAACATAAATTTAATACAAGAGTAGTCTTTTCGTCGATATATGTATAGATAAGTCAGACTTTTCTTCGAAAACGTGTTATCTACTATGTACATTAATGACACATTCGTTGTTTACTCAAGAATGTGAAAAATGACTGTTGTTGATTTAACTAAATATTGAATACATAGATAAAAAGAATACTTATCTTCTAAATGATGAATAAGGTGTATATGTCAACATTTTGTTTCAATTTTATAATTTTCGCAAATTTTTGACGATGATATATTTTAAACAGATATCGTTCTCAAATAGACTTCAGTTATCTATAATAATAAAATAACGTCATATATCCATTTTATATAATAATGTAAACGAGTATTTATTATTCTTTGTGTGTAATGTTCTGAGTTTTTGAATACATTTCTTTACTCTATGCATAGAAACATCTACATAATAGATCCGAAAATCACATCTTTCTTTTTTTAATAAATATAACCAAACTAAATAGATATACTCATATTAACTTTTTCTCATAGAAATGAGTTTATTTAATTGATGTTTCGTTCAACTGTGAACACTAGTGGCAGTCTTGTATATCCGTTTGATGTTAAAATATGTATTCAGATAACTATGTGATAAATTATTATAGTAAGTCCGTTTGTTTCTTTGTATTTAATATACAAGTATTATATAGGAAAACTAATGGTAGTGAAAAGGGTCATGTGCTACAGATAATATAGTATATATCTAATGAGAATTAATATCATGCAACAGTCATATATTTAGATATAACAGTATAAACAGAAAGTCTATGTACTATTATGTTAAAAAACCAGTGTCATTGTTAAAATTTATCTTTTACAAAACTACATCGATCATTAATTATTAATAAAATTTCAAAATATTTTGCAAACTTTAAAATATATTTAATCATGAAACCGATATACAATGATCAGTTGGTATTTTCATATTTTTTGTGGAAACAAATTCGGCTTACACTGTTGAATACACATCATTTTGTAATAAAAGATTTTACATTTGTTTTTCTTAAAACAACTGTTCTATTTTTAGACTTCAATTTGTTAAATATTCCGAGATACTTGAATTTATAAAAACAAAATATCAAGAATAAATTTTAAAACGCATTATTTTGATTACTTGATGGTTTTACCGGATGCTCTGTCGTTTCTTATCAAATCTACTCACGTTTCATCGATACTTCGTCTTTTTTTAAAGTATAATCCAGGCGTATATAATAACAAATGATATAATTTTGCATACTTTATAATCTATTCTAAGAACAGCACTATTTTATTTTTATGGTCGTTCATCATAGACGTGATACTCGCATTAAAGATAAAAAAAAAAGAGTAATTAGTTCTCATGTCTATGATAAAAAAATAGAATGGGAAAAAACCCAGTCTAGTTGTATACTATAAATACAACGTGTCGACAACAGTTTACTTATTACTTTTCTTTTTTCATTGATTCTACAAACAAAGTAAGTACAATTTCTTATAAAATAGTGTCTATTTTATATAATAAATTTTTATTAAGATGTCATCTACTCAAGGATCATCATCAACAGCAGCCGATAGCGCAGCAAATGATAATAAATCAAATCAATGCAATTCAAACAATGCTGAATATGCTGGACATCAATCGGGTTATACTGGTACTGGTGATCAAGCTGATTTAGGCAATCATGCCAATCAATTAAATCCAAATAATACGAATTATCAAGGAAGTGGATCAAAATAATTGCAAAAAAAAATGAACGAACTATTTCTCAAATATATTTTATTCTCGCTTACTTCTTTAACAATAAACTAGAACGAATTTTTTCAGTTATACTTAATAAAAATATTATTAGACCGGAAAAAAATAGTTGTATTGACTTGATACAGATATCTATTATACTATATTCCTATAATATAGTTCACTAAAAAAAAATTATTTAAATCTGACAGATACGAATCTCTTTTCTTCGTTCGCTTTGTATTGATAATTATTTCTTAGTCTTTCATTCATAGTAGGATTAATACAAAGAACATAATAATGGATAAATCTAATATATTTTATTAAATTTTTTAGAGTATTGTTAACTTTAATTTCACGTATATTAGATGGACACATACTAGAAATTTTGAAAACAAAAAAAACTAAAATGACGAATGGTTTATGGTTTTTTTTCTTTCAAATCATTTTGCATAATGTGTATCAATTGCTTTAATAGTGTCACCATATGCTTTAGTAGGAAAAAGTAATGCAATTCGTTTTTGTCGTTCTTCTTCTTCTTCTTTATAAAATGCAAGTATTTCTTGAAATTTCTCATCAGTTATACCAAGTTTTTTAGCTAATGCAGATATACCATCAATTTCTCGTTGTTTTAAAACACCATCAGCAGCTGCTGCTCGAAGTCCATTATAAATCAATTCATTTTGGTAATGTTCAGCAGTTTTTAATTTACTATCATTATTAAAAATAGATGTTGCATCTTCCGAACCTAATTTATAACTTTTAAGAGCATCAATTTCATCTTTTCCAATACCTAAACAGAAATAGAATCTTTTTTTTCTTATTTAAATATAATTAATAATTTACCATGTGCTGCAGCTAAACCTAAAACCCATTTTCTTTCTGCATCAGTAATTACACCATCAGCACCTGCTACTTCCAAAATAGCTTTCATATATTTTTCAAGAACATTAGTTGATAATGTTTTATCTTTATTTTGATACCAATCTCGATTTATCCATTCAGTTATAACTTGTTCAGCTGGTTGTCTAGGCATTTGAAAACGACTATAACGATCACGATTAAAGCAAAAATGAAATAAATATTATCGTCTAATGTATCCAGTCAGCTTTTTTTTTTGTGTTGATCACTCATGTGTGACGACGTACTAATACAGTATAAGCGCTTTATTGGACGAATAACAAAAAAACGAAAGAGAAATGTCAAATACATGATTGTTAATTTCGGACGAAATATGTATCGAATGGATATACGATACTTGTCACTGATTTTATATATTTAATTCTTGTGCGTGTTATAATGATATATTTATTATATATAAAAAAATATACACACTCCACTAAATATTGTACTTGAAAAAAAAGCACGTCTAATTATTTTCTTCCACAAAAAATAATTGTTCGAAAACAATTTAAAACTATTCTTCGAAATTGTTTATTAAACCAACTATATATAATTGGATTATGACAACAATTACTAATACCTAACCAATAAAAAAATAAATATATTGTTGTATCATTACATTTATTAAATTGTAAACGGTGTTTTGATGAGAAAATAAAAAAATCTTGTAGATGTAAAAGATGAAGTGGTAAATGAGATAAAGCAAAAACGATAACAATAATAATTAATAAACGCATTGAACGTGTTCTTGATCGTTTAAATGTGGCAAATTGTTGTACACCAATAATAGATCGTCGAGCTATTGTACGCATTGTTAATAAACATAAAATACTTATGATTAAAAGTGGTATAATATAAAATAAAATAACAAGAGAAAAAACACGTATTTTACGTATATTATCACTGGAAATAAATTTATTTTTCATTGGAAAAAGTATTTGACAACTAATCAGTTTTTGATTTGAAATAAAATATGTATGAACTTTCATTGATATTAAACAACTACCAGCATATATACCTGATATAATCCATGTAAATAAAATTGCTTGTCGTGTATGCCGGGTAGAATATTGTCTTAACGGATTTTGTATAATACGATAGCGATCATAGGCAATAACACACATTGTTATTGTTGATGCATTATATGCTAAAATTTGTAATGATTTATTTGATATACATAAATATGAACTTGATGTTATATTTTTTAGAAAATATGTTGAACAAAATATAAATTGAAATGGTATTGTTAAACCACATAATGCATCAGCTAATGCAAGATTAAGTAAAAATATACTTGTTGTACTTAATTTTAATCCTGTTGAATGTTTTCGTAGAAAACTTATTCGAAATACCAGTCCATTACCAATAATTGCTAATAATGATGTAAATGTATAAAGAAGTAATAAGCAACTATCTTGAATTAGTATAAAACTGATCATCGAAATAAAACCGGTAATTATTCAAGAATAATGATTCATTGTTTAATATAAAAGTCTGCGTAATAAAGCATATTTCAGTTGAGAAAAAAAATATATATATAGAATTTTACGATATTAAACGCTAAGTAGATATACTGTAGTTAGAAATTACATATAGTCGGAAATGTTGTTTTTATATGCGAATATTTTACAATAATGGACTTTTTCTTTTTCTATCCTACAAAAAAAAAAGATAAAACTTCACGAGTGTTGTGTCTAAGTGAGAGTAACAGATGGATTATTATGAGTTTGCATTGAATATGAATATCATGTTTTATGATTACTTCCTACTCATAAAGTAATTTCCTTTATACGCATACTGGTAGCAAAACTTTGAGATTATATTAAAAAAAGGATCGAATGGCTCATAAAGAATAGATAGAAAAATGAATAACCAAAGTTAATTAGAATGTAAATGATTACCATGAGTAAAATATTAAAAAAAACATATTTTTATTCATAGGTCAAAATAAGATCATTTCCATACGATGAGAGAAATCATAATAAAATATCGAGTGTTTTTTTTAATAAAAGAATTAAGGCATTTTTCAAAAACAAGCGGATGCATTTCTACGCTTCATGAATGTATATTAAAAACACGCATTACATCTCTGAATGTACTTATTTTATCATATTATTAACGTTAAATCATCTACAAATATTTTGATTTACTTTTTTTGTAAATGATCAATATAAAGGTCAAGTGTACCCCGTATTTTATAAAATAGTATAATTCATATTTTATCTTCGTCATGCATTGTTGCACACATATATATATATATATATGTTCTTTTTGTCTATCTTGATAAACACAAGATATACATTATCAAGCAATGCTCCAGCGAATATCACCGTATGTTTGAATTAATCGAATATGAACATATATATTTTTTTTGTATATGTAAATTTAGAAATAAAGAAACAAATTAAGAAAACATTACGAAAAAACGCTTTTACTTGTATCATCTTATATCAAATGATGCATCGTCAAAATATTTAATATTCTACCAACATTAAGCTTAGCATATCTAAAATGGAACTTTAATTTTTTTGGCCATCAAATACCTTTCAGTGATTATAAGCGCATTATTTACTTTATTTACATGCATCGAACTCACGCAATTAACAGCTATCATCGATTGATGAGTCATTCGTTTGACAAATGATGGTCTATAGGTTTTTTTTTGTTTTTTTTAATTACTTGTCCTGTAATGCTGATGGTGTTGTGTTATGTTTAAAGCATAAAATGTTCTAGTGAACATAATTTTTGTTCAGCACTTTTGTATAATTTTAAATAAATAGTAATAAAATAAAAAAATAGTCTATCGAACTTCTTGTTTTCTTTCACATGCAGTTGTTGCTCTACATTATTGGATGTTCGAAAAGCTTATTCTGAAATAATCATTGCACAATTGTAGATTTTATCAATTACGTGACATCTACTGTTTAATATATATATATCTGTTTTATTAGAGCACCTCACAAACGAATCAAAACAGTTGATTACATTATTACTTCTTAAATAATGCTACGTTTAGGTACAAAAAATGATTTTGATGAACTCTATTCTGTTTATATGCATCCAACGGTTAATCCCTATTTAAATTTTGAAATAATGAGTAAAGAAGAATTTCTTCCAATATTTAATGAGTTAACTCAATCAGGAATATTGTATATATATGAAAATATTGATGGACAAATAGCAGCAACATGTATTGTGAGTCGTTCAGTACGACGTTGTGCACATAATGTTTGTTTATCAACATTAGCAACAAATCCAATTTGTCAACATCAAGGTATTGGTTCAAAATTTGTTCGAGAATTAATTGATGAAATAAGAAAAGATCAACAAATTAAACGAATTGAATTATATGCTGAAGTTGATAATGAAATTGCTTTAAATTTTTATAAAAAACTTGGTTTTCAAGTGGAAGGATGTTTAAAAAATTATTATAAACGAGCAACAGATGATCATTTCGTTAATGAACTTGTTTTGGCAATGATTTTTTAAGACAATTTATTCATGCAAATAATGATATTGTTAAAGAAATAATAATTTATAACTAATTGAAAAGTTTTTTATTTGTAATTAATTATATTAAACAAAAATCATCGAATTAAACATATCTTTTAAATGTTTGCTTCAATTTTGAAACTGAGAAAACAATTTTTTTGTACGTGATTCTTATTTTCATCAATAATAGAAACTATATGACATTATTCCATTAATTCTTACGTAATATATTGTGTGAAGTATTAATAATGAGAATGACATTAGGTAGTTCTTTGAGTCAAGAAGAGTATTCTTTTCCTTTTTCCATCATACTTAAAAGAAAAAGATTATTCTATCTTATTTATCTCTTTTCCGTTTCTTTTTCTCTTTTCTAATTCAAATCTATTTTACTTATTCCTAACAGTTATATAAGTCAACTGAAAGGAATAGAACTGTTTGAATCATGCAAATTAGTGAAAAGATATTACTTATTATTACAGCTTTAATAACAGCAGTAGCTGCATTATTTTGTGTAATCGCTTTGGGTACTTCAAATTGGACAGGTATACGCGGTTTATATTGCAGTGATTGTCCGCCAGCATCAGCTGGTCTTTCTATCATTGCTTTTATCTTGTTAATTATTGCTGTTATTATTCTTATTTTATTGGCATTACAAGTTTTACCTAATTCTCTTCGTTTTATAGCTTTTATAGTTCTTTTTCTAGCAACTACATTTACATTATCATCATATGCAGCATATTTTGATAGATCGACTGGTTATTCATTTAAATTAATGGTTTGTGCTCATTTTCTATGTTATATAGCATCACTTTTTGCAACATTTTGGCTTGGTGGTTCATATGTAGCAAGGGTTGTATCACCGGACATTCCATAGATAAATTTTTACATTGACACATTCATTTTTTTTTGAATAAATAAAATATATATATACGTCATTAATTGAACAATGCATTCTAGTATGAAGTTCATGAATCTTATCTAGGATGACAGTTTGAAGAGAGAAAAAAAAAGAATATTACGTGATAAATAAATAGCAGAAAGCTTGTCTTAGTCTTATCTAAATGAATTCATTAAAATAATGATCTTATTAAATATAAATACTGCGAAGTGCTTCAATTATAACGAATTTTTATTATGTGAGATAATGTATACTTAGTTTTGACTTGTAAATAATAAGTGATCGATACGAAATCATATGATGCATTCATTATTTCATAGATAATGTATATATATATAATCATAAAATCAAATTATTCCTCTTCCATACATGGCGCTCTCTACGACAAAACGCAATAAGTTATGGCCAATCCTCCATTGCCTTCCTTATAAGATTCCCATAATGACTCATTGATAACTTATGTTGCCTTCATATATTCATATAATAATATTATTATTTCGATCAATTTTTATAGTAAAATGGTAAGAAATAGTTCTTTTACTTATACTCCTTACATATTTCTATATATAGCCTAATGGTAATATTGACATTGACGATGAAGAAGTCATACTTGACCGACAAAATTTAGCACATAATGTAAATACTTCAGATTCAATACTTCACTCTATGAATCAATATAATACTGGAATATACAATGATTCAAATAACTTATCTAAAGAAAAATCAATTATTTTGACTGTTACTTGTACATCTATTGTATGTAATCTTATATACTTCTTTATCTATTTCTGTTTTCATATGAGTTTTTTTTTAATACAAAGGGTATGTTCACTGGTTTATTAGGACCAACATTTCCATTTCTTGTAGAAAATTTATCTACGGAAGTATCCTCAATTGTACAACTTATTACTGTAAAAGCAATTGGTTTTTTTATTGGAACATGTTTAAGTTCTTATCTTTATACATGGTATAGAAACTTTTTATTATATTACAAAATAAACTTTCTCTTCTATATTTATATAGGTTTAATGTATGTTGTTTACTTGGTTTATCTTGTTTATCAATAAGTTTTGGTATTTGTTCACTTGCATTTATAACTGATTTAACAGCATTTTATTTAACCTCACTTACACTTGGTATTGGTCTTGGTTTATGTTATAATGGTAAGAAGAAAATTCTTCAATTATGAAAAATAAAATATTTTTTTCTTAAGGTATCGATGCACTTTATAATCGTTTATGGTCACGACCATCCGTATCAACTATTCGTTGGTTACATTTATTAATAGCTGTAGGTGTAACTCTTTCAACACTAATATTACTTCCATCAACAATGCCAAATGATAGTAATATTTTATCATTATCAACACTTACTCGTATGTACAAATAGAAGTATTAAAAAGAAAAATTGTGTTTTTATTTAATTTAAGAATCTTTCCGAGGACGTCGTGCAATCTCAGATAATACAACATTCGTATTTAATTCAACATCTAAAATTCGTAAAAACATAACAAAACCAGCAGTTGTTTCATCAGATATTTTAGCAGGAACATTATATACTAAACCAAATTCAGATGCAGAACAATTAAATGAAAAATCTCTCTGTTTTCAAACATATTGTTGTTATGATGAAAATAATCGAAATAATACATTTACATGTCAAGAACAAAATAAAAATCAATCAAATGATTGTAATACTATTTTATCATCTTGTCGAATGTTATCAACCAATATTTGTCATATCAAGAAAATAAATACATGGTGTCGAATTATGCGAATATGTACAAATGAGACAACATTCAATTGTACAATAGAATTTATTGATACATCTATTAATGCTAATAGATCATCAACAATAGTGACAATAAAACCAAATACTACTACCTTACCTTCAACAACAATGACAACTCATATAACTACAATTACTTCTACAACGACAACTACTACTATTCGAATACCAATAACTTATCGTAAGAAACCTCCAACAGCTGATTCAGATAATGATGATCTTTCGCAAAATTTTTTCTATTTAAAAATTCGTTTATTTTTCCAAACAATCACATCTATTCATTTACTTTATTTATTTCTTACATGTTCATTTTTTCTTTTGGGTATTTGTTATTCAATATTAGCAATGCGTGGCGAAGGAATAAATTCACCTTTAGTAATAAATCTCAATCCTTTATCATTATTAATTCTTAAACCTCATTATGTAATTCATACTTCAAATACTCAATCCTCATTATTATCGGATACCTCGTCATTTAAATTTGTTATTCTTATTATATTATTCTATTTTATTTTATCTGGTATTGAAAGTTTTTGTACTTATTTAACATATTCATTTGGTATACATAATAATTTATCAGAATATAAATGTTTAATCTTACAAATTTGTTATCATTTTGGTCGTTTAATTGATATATTAATAAATTATCTCTGGTTTTTATTAGATAAATATAGAAAAAAGCAATCAAATTTAATTTCAATAAAATTTCTCATACTTCTTCGTCTTATTGTTTTATTTGTTATTTGTTTTTCAAATTTATTTCAATTAAAAATTTATTTCTTATTTTTTTCCATTGGTTTTCTATTAACATCATTATCAAGTTTAATTTTATATTGGATTGAACGTGATTTATATTTAAATGAAATATTAATTCGATTTATTCTCTATACAATAATTATAAGTGAAATGATTATTCCATTAATTTTATTTTATAAAATTGACTATTTTATTCAATTCTATTTATTTATTGGTTTAGCTTTATTAATTATTTTATTTTTACTTATTTTATATATAAGTAAAAATTGGCAAACAAATCGATTTTATCATTTATTATCAACATCAATGGATATGAATGAAATGGAATCTCAAACGAATTCGGATAATGAAAAATTTAAAGATACGAAATTACAGTAAAAAACAATTTGTTTTATGAATAATATTATTTTGGTTTTGTTTTGATTACATGGTGAATGTTTTTATTTTTCTTATTGTTATAAAAAAATTTGTTTTAATTGATAAACAGTAATACTCAAATTTTAAATATTGGATTAGTATTGTTCTATAAATTGTATGTTCCATATAGAGATGTGCGGGACTAGATTCTTCTAGTCTCAGTCCCGGTGAAGCGTTATTTTTTGGCTCCGGCGACAGGGACCGAAACTGATCCCGCATATATCTAGCCCTACGCAAGGGGGAAACAGCGAACTTTAAGACTTCATGAGACTTCATACATGAAGTCTCTGTTGTTTCTCCTTCGTGTCCTCATGCGATAAATGCATCCATAGAAATTCTAGAAGACTTCGCAAGATTTCATGAGACTTTAAGTATGAAGCCTCTTTTGTATGTCCCTTGGTCCTACGTGATAAGAGATATGAAATTGTAGGTATTGATTTAAGGTAACATATTTCCTTTTTTGTCAGAAGGAAAAGCCGTTGGTAACGCTACCAACTTATACAAACTAGTTTCATTGTTATTACGTTTGAAATTATTTGTAGCTTAGCAACTACAAATTGACTACATGTGAATGTATCATACATTAAATCAATTGTTTAACAATAGGAATTAATTTAACTGAATGTCATTTTCCCCCATTTATCTAGTCAATTATTGTCATGCAATCGATATACTCATAGTGGTCTCATTTGTATTCAAACATGTGTTCAGACGTGGCGCGACCAGGAGCGGAGGGGGGTGTCGGGGGTATGACACCCTCCCAATCTTCGAAAATTTCTACTTTTTGCTCAACAAAATCGGGAAATCTTCTAAAGTTTTTTACCGAAGATAACGCTACAAACCCTCCCCCAAATTCAAAAGATTTCGTTGCATCCCCTCCCCTCCCATGTTGGCTGACTCGCGCCACCCCTGCATGTGTTTTACTTTTTTTGTTTTTATGAAAAAGAGCTTTTATTTCAATAACTCTAGTTAATCACTTTATTTCATTAGTTGGTTCATCTCCATATAATTTTTCAATTTTTATAATTTCTCCTGTTTTAATATTTGCCGTAACTAATGCAATAGCTTGTGCAACTTTACAAGCATCTGTTTCGAATTGTCGAAATTTCGGCATATTATCAAAAGCCGTTCCATCAGACCACATATGAAAATGTCCAGCAAAAACACCGAAATAATTTAATGATGAATGTTGACGTAATAAATGGTCGATACGTAAACGTTTAGCTTCGCCAAATGCATAAATTTCACCTGGAATATAAAATGGTGCACGATATGGTTGATGTTGTAAAAGAACAATAGTCGATGATTGTTTATCGAGTTGTTGTAATTGTTCTTCTAACCATCGAAATGTTCCACCATTAAAATCATATAGATCAGCACCAGGCATTGATCCTTTATAACCAAGTGAAGCTGCAGCATGATGACGACTATTCCAATCAAGAGCAATGAATATCTAAAAAAAAAGAAAATTATTTTTTTTTAATTTCAAAATTTTAACATACATTATTATGTATTTGTATACGATAATTTTGAAACCAAGATTGACATGAATGTAATGGATTCCATACTGTTCCATTTGGATAATTAATAATATTTGATTGATTAAGTATATGTTCAAATGTTTTAGCAAATAATTGATCACCGACAGGTGCAACATCTTCCCACGTTGAATTATATAGCCATTGATCATGATTACCAATTATTGGATAATATGGTATAGTTAAATTATTTAAAACAGTACGAACTGTATTATATTGATCTGGCATAGCATGATCTGTTAAATCACCCGTAATAAAAACAGCTTGTAAATTTATTGATTTATTTGCTACAAGTTGATTAATTTTAGCTACTGCTGAACGAGCTCGACCTAAAGCATTAGCACCTGTATCACCAATATGAATATCAGATAGAAGAGCAAATTGATAAAAATCTGTATCAATTGGTTTTGCATGAATGCAATCAAGAAATAATAGGACAAAAACTATGATAATATAACGAAACATATTTTTTTATGAATCAATGAAAAAATTTTAATAAAAAACCAGTTTGATTATATGAGAATCAAAACATATGTGTGATTGATGATAGAATAAAAAGATGAAGATTTATTGATGAAAAGACAAAGCATCAAAAAAAAACCAAGTCTGTATGGGTATATAATTTAGTAGTATAAAACAAAGGAAAAATCTAACATCTAGCATAAATTTCACCATTACGAATATATAAAAGAAGTGGTTCATGTATAGGTAATGATCTTTGACGATGTGTTGGTAATGAATTATATTGAATTGGAGAGTCAATTCTTGTTGTAGCAATATTTTTCTTTGGTGTTATTGTTGAATAATGATCAACATAAGCTTGCTGGGATAAATTCATATGTATTTGATTTTCTTGAGGTTCTAATCGTTCAATTCTAGCTATTGCTTTAACCTGATCATTTTCACTAAATTCATCACGATGAGTACGAATACGAATATTAAGTTTGGAATAATATGGTAAACTAGTATTGAGTAATATATGTCGACCAGATTGTTTAATATTAGTTAAATCATTTTCTTCTCGTGATGAAATAAATGATTCTTCATTCCAATGTACATTACGTCTATGTGGGGAATGATGAGAAGTTTGATCGTACATGTAAGACATAGGTGTAATTGATTCGTTTAAAGGATAACTAATATGACAGGGATTTTTTGTAGATGGTGGATGGAGAAAAAATTCAGAAGTATATGTATTTTTTAATGTACTTGTTCTTTCGAATACAGGTGAACAACAAGTTGAAGTAGATGATGATGATGATGGAATTCGAATACCACTATCGCGAGATGTTGGTGTAATTGTACGAAATAAATCACTAGATGGTTGATAGAAACTATTAAATTCGTCGAATTTCGATTGCAAACCACCAGGATATTCTCTAAATTATAATAAACAAGTTATTTCTAAAGCTTTTACAAAATTACTCACTTCGAATCAGTATAAGAAAAAAAATTTACTAATGTATAAAACATCATATTTTTTTTGTTATAATATTCTATACGAATAACAACTCAATATAAAATGAACTATTCTCATTCATCATATATATATAAATGTATAAGTAGTCTATATAAAATTACATTTATGATCCATCATTTAAAATTCGAAATTGGATATGATCCAAAATGAATCGTTTTTCGATCAATTTTAATCTGAACTCTTTTTTATCATCGTCATTTTCGTACGTGCGTACAATCAATTCATTTATATACAAAAACGAAGAAGAAAAAAAATGTCAAATGTCTTTCTTGTCTAAATCGAGACGTTATTCTACTATAATTACTTAATAGGAATGTTTTCTTCATTATAATATTGATATCCATTAAAAAGTTGATCGAGTTTTAATGATAATTGATGTTGATTATTGGTTGTCATTATATCGCTCACTATTCTTTGAAAATGAATACTAACTAATATGATATATGAACACTATATATATATATGTAGCTTTACTATCGTTCGGATTTCATTTTGTTTTTTTGGCGTACACCTGTTAGATATCAATCGCAATGGATTGTCTCGTTCTATTCATTGAAAACTGATAAGATATTACTAAGTATTAATTACATCTCGTGATTATTGAGATAGATAGATAAATTTTTTGAACATTTCTTTTGTTTATAGATATTAGATTTTGATGTCTTACCTCTATTGATGATTAAATTTGGTTGTTATGTCGTTTTTTTTCTTTTTCTTTTCTATTTACTCATTCTATGAAATTTGTGATTGTGTTTGTGTTTGCACATCTATCACAGCTTTCTTTTTCTTCTTTCGTTCTCATCTACGTTATGATTATTTTTGCTTGTAAACTTTTCAATACGCTACTTGATTTTATGGTATGCATGTGCGATCGCGATTACAGTTAAAATATTGTGATGAAAGAATTTGTTGGCAAATTTTTTAGGTATACATCATTGCTACTTCTAAGGATTTACTACTAAATTAATTTCTTCTATCGAATAACCTTCATATAAATTGTTTTCGAAAAATATTGATTTCGTATGAAGTATTTATTCGTTATTAGATGATATTTTTTATCACATTTTATTTCTTTTACACAAGATTGTTGTGTTAGAAAAATACTATAAGATTAGAATAAAATCAGTTTGGGTATTTTGTTACTTTGCAATCAAATATTGTATTGAGTGGCAATAAGAATATGTTTTTTTAAATTCGATATAAGGAGCTCTTTTATATTTCGAAGTGAGTCGTTAATAATAGAAGAATAATATACCAGTTATATGCATGTATGATCAATGAATTATATTAATATGAAACTACTTTCAATTACATAACAATTGTTCTTAAATAAAAATACTCCAATCGAAAATGATTTTTATAAAATACATTTTAGCACATTTCGAAATATTCAAATTTATGTAAAAATACCATTACGTTAAATAATTTCAAAAATATGACCTTACGTCGTTCATTTTGATAATAGGGTTCAAATATCATGTTTGATTTTTAAATGAAAGAAAAAGTAAAAGTTCGTTTATCAAACTATTAATACACATTAATCAATTTATTTTATTAATACGACAAAGTTATTAATCTACGATTGTTTATACAATCATTAAATGAAAAGAAAAAAAAATACAAAAAAGTATTAAGATAGAATAAGACAATGAATTTCTTCAGAGTAGTAAAAAGAAAAAGTCTTGAACAGACTTTAACAGGCACACATACAACTACCTGAGATAATAAAAAAAAGAAGAACTGTTTCTAATTTATTTTGCAGCTTTTTTCTCCATAATAATATTGCCATGAGCATCTTTTATTTTTATTTTTCCATTTGCATAACGAATTTCCTGTTCACCTGTATTAAATACTGTTAATATTGAACCATTTGGAAATAATTTTCTTTTATAAGTATCAGTATGAACTTCTTTTGTTTGATCTGGATGTTGAATAAGTTTTTCTCCATTTGTTTTTATTGATATAATTGTTCCATCAATTAAATAAATATTTTTCGTTTTATCTGGTAATATATGTTCTTGTCTTCCATCAGGCAAATGTTTTTCAATTTGTCCATTTGGAAATTCACATACACGTGTACCATCGGGATATTCTGTTTCAGTTGTATTTGTACTTGCATATCTATATACACAACGACCATCGGATAATTTTTCTTTATAATCTCCATTATAAAATTGAACACGTATTTGTCTACCATCAGCACTAATATCTTGTTTTGAACCATTTGGAAATATGATCTGTTTTGATTGATCTGGCTTAATACGTTCAATACGTCCATCATTATGACGGATTTCTTCAATAATACCATCATTGGATGATGTAGGAAGATTTTCTTTGAATGTAATTGCTTTTGTTGTTGTTGTTGTTGTTAATGGAAGATTAAGACGAGGTGTTGGATTCGTTGAATCATTATTATTTATTGTTAATGGTTGTCGTTTTATTGTTGGTTGATCAAGAAGTGATAAAGTTTCTTGATGTCGTTTCAGAAGTGTTGTAGCTGATGATGATGTGCGTGTAGCCATGTTTAATAATGATTTATAATCAAGAGTAGCCGGTTGATTAGATTCAACATCATCATCAGTAATGAAAGTTTTCGGATATTCAGAATTGATAAGAGATGAGAGTGATCTATATAAACAAACAAAGTTTTTTTATAATCTCAATTTTTAAAGAAATACTGATTGTTTATTTAATGTAGACTAGTAATCTTTTCATGTATTAACTTACGGTGATATTCGATCATCATTTCTTCGATCAAATCGACTAAAATCTTCATCACTTTCTCCATTTCCTGAGTCAGCTCTTTCTGATATAACAAGTGGTTGTTCAATTAATGTTGGTATTGGTATTGATTCAATTGTTCCACTTAATTCATTTGTAGATGTTGGACGTTTTGTTGCTGGTAATGATGATAATTTTCTTGAGGTATCAATATTATTTTTAATTCCATTAACACCAACACTTGTTGTTGTTGTAGGTGTTCGTCGTCCACTTGTATTTATTTTTGGTTTAATTGATGATGGTTCAGAATTTCTAATAACCATTGTTTTTGGTAATGATTGAGTTTTTGATGTTGTTGGTACAGTTGACTTTGGTCGTTGTTTTGGTTGTGAAAGTTCAATAATTGATTTTCTTGCTGTTGATAATGATGATGATGTATCATCTTGTAATGGATTTTTTGATATTGTTTGTAATTGATGCATTAGATCAAGTCGTTTTCGTTCAATAATATCTTTTTCTTGTTTTAATTCAGCATTTTCATATTCTAATGTTTCAATTCGTTCTTTTAAACGATTTATTGTTGTGGACCAACGTGTTTCACGTTGTTTTAGATCTTCTTGTAAAGTTAATACCTATGCAAAAAATAAAGATCATTTGCATTAGTTTCCTTCTTTTTCTTACTTGTTTTTTTAATGTTTCAATTTCTTCTCGTTCACGTTTATCAGGATGATCACGTAATTGTTGTCGATGTTGCTCAAATAAACGTTTTTCATGTTTCAATTTTTTCATTTCTTCATCTTTCATTTGATTAAATTCTTCTGTTTCTTTTTGTTTCATTTTTTCAAAATCATCACGATCTTGTTTGAGTTTTTTTATAGCTGAATTTCGTTCATTACAAAGTGATTGTAATTTACCATTTTCTTTTTCGAAAAGTTCAATTTGTTTTTCAAGCTCTTTAGCTTTTTCACGTACTAAACGACTATAATCTTGATTTGGTTCAATCATAGGTTGTGTTTGTGGTGGTGGAGGTGGCGGCGGAAGAGGTGCTGATGTTGGTACTGTATGTCGAAGACCTGGAAATGTATTAAGCATTAATGAATTAAGTTGTGGAGCATTAACACGATCAGCCCATGAATGATCATCACCAAAATCAGATGAACGAGCTGAATCTTTTTTTTGTTGTTGATGTTGTAATTTAGGAAAATCAGTTTTAAATGAACTGATACCGCTATCACTATTATATTCATCAGCAATAACAGGAATAATTTTAGCTACACCAATATCATCCCATTTATGAGCTTCATCATCTTCTTCGTCATCATCATCATCATTATCACTTGCAATAGCAGCTGTTGCTACTAATTGTTCAATACGAGCATTGACTTTATTTTTAAATGGAATAACTTTTCGTTGTCGAATACGATTTGGATTGATCGATAGATCAGATACTTCTTCATGTTTTGAATCATTTACTTCTGCTTCTTCATCTTCATCTTGCTCATGATAACGAGTTAAACGATTAACAAATATATCAGCTGTTTTAGTTTGATTATGATCCTAAATAAGAAAAAAGTTAAATTTACATTGCCATTCATTAACGTATATTCTTACTTTAAAAACTACTTTTTCAACATACGATGCTGTGCTAATCATTGATGGATGTTCTTCAGCATACTGTTCAAGTTTTTCAAAATCATCCAAATCCTAAATGAATATAATTTATTAATTATTGTTATGAATTTCTTAATCATATTTAAATATAAATGATAAACTAGTTGTATACCTTTTTTGGATGTATAATAGAGATTTTCGATTGAATTCCACTACTACGACTTGATGTTCGGTGACGAGTATTTGTATATAAATCTTCATCATCGTCATCATCATGATTAATAATATCTTGTTCATCATCACTATGATGAAATGATGTTTTATATGTATTCCATTTTGTGTCAATCATTGTTTGAAGATTTGTAATAAATTTATCATCATGATTAGTTTCATTGAATTCATTTGGAAGTTTTTTTGTTTGATATTTTGTTAATAAATCATCTTCATCATCTAAATCAACTTTACCTAATAAATTACTTTGAGTTGAAATAGGAACAGATGGTTTTGCAGTATTTGATGAACTATTAATTTGTTTAGTTGGTTTTGTTTTTAATGATGGACGAGTAGTTGTTGGAGTTTGCCGACCTGATGGTGCAGATGCTGTTGATGATTGAGAACGTGAACGTTGATTTGAATTATTATTTATTGTTGAACGAGGGTTATTATTTGTGCTATTTGCACTTGTTGGTCGTTTCACATTCTAAAATTAAAAAAATGGTGTTATAAATCATTGATTCATTTTGTGTTAATTTTTAACTGATTTCAACTGTTTAGTAATGTTGATTTCATATAGTAAAATTACCTCATTTTTTGTGCTATTATTATTATTACTGCTATCATTTGTTTTTGCACGTGGTTGACGACGTTTTGGAGGTGCCTGATAATGTGCAAGGCCTTGACGTTTACGTAGAAATGGTCGTTTTTCTTTATTTTCTTGATTTTGATTATTAAATTCGTCATTTTTCTAAATATAATATATTCTGGTTTATATTTAAAAA